CAAGTAGGGAAGTGGAAGCACCTGGAAAGGAAGTGGCATGAATTCTGAAGAAGTACGAGGGAATTTATGGAGACGGGCCACCCATTCTCCCCGTTAGTGTCTGGCAGAGCTGGGATGTGAATCTAAGATGATTTTGGGATGAGAATCTGAACAGGGCTATGACATACTTCTGTTTTTAGTGCTTGTCAGCATGACAATGATAGGTTTTATCCCTGACATGATGTCTCTGTGATGGAAACACTTAAAGCCATTTCATTTCCTCTGGCCCCTCCACAGACATTCTCAAAGTTTTGCCTTTTCCTCAAGATGAAGCCAAAGATTTCTAGCATCCAGTTCCTGCATACAAATGCCCGATGAGTATAGGACCACACGCCGTCTTTTTACTTGCCATTAAGTGTCACATTTTTCCTATTTAATGTCACATAAGAGCAATATTTCCTTCAGGTATCTAATCATAAGAACCACCACAAATTCTAGATCCATGAGATCAGTCTTTCCGTGGAGAATTCAGGTAGAGATTCCTGATCACATGTTTGTCAAATAGAAAGTTTCCCAGAAAATCAGATACCATGTGTTACGAAAGAAAAGAAAGTACCTAGTCACTAAACACCCAGTTTAGAACAAAACGCCAAACACCCAGTTTAGAATAGTTTCCCAAAAAGTGTTTTCCTAACATCCATAATTTTGAAAATTGTATGAGGAGAAAGTACATTTGATTTTCTTCCTTTCTCTGACTCTTACATCCTTCATTTTCCTTATGCCTGTGTTAATCCCCCAGGACTGCCATAACCAGGGGTGCCAGAGGTGTGGCTTGAACGGGAGAAATTCATTTCCTCACAGTTCTGGAAGCCAGAAGTATGAGATCAAGGTGTTGGCCGGATGGTTTCTTCTTAGGGTCTATCTTTTGGCTTATCCATGGCCAGCTTCTCCCTGTGTCCTCACATGGCCTCTGTGTGTGTGTGCGCCCTAATCTTCTCCCTTTTTTTTTTTTTTGAGACGGAGTCTCGCTCTGTTGCCCAGGCTGGAGTGCAGTGGCGCTGTCTCCACTCACTGCAAGCTCCGCCTCCCGGGTTCACGCCATTCTCCTGCCTCAGCCTCCCGAGCACCTGGGACTACAGGCGCCCGCCACCACGCCCAGCTAATTTTTTTATATTTTTAGTAGAGACGGGCTTTCACCGTGTTAGCCAGGATGGTCTCGATCTCCTGACCTCGTGATCCGCCCGCCTCGGCCTCCCAAAGTGCTGGGATTACAGGCTTGAGCCACGGCACCCGGCCTAATCTCCTCTTATAAGGACGCCAGTCAGCTTGGATTGTGTCCCACTCATATGACGTCATTTTACCGTAATCACATTTTCAAAGGCCTTGTCTCCAAATACAGTTATATTCTGAGATACTGGGGTTAGGACTTCAACACATGAATTTAGGGGGAGACATAAGTCATCTCATATTAATGCCCCCCAAAATTTATTACTTCAGATAGTCATGCCCTAAATGAAAATTAAACAACTCAAAATTAAATAGAATTTTTAAATTTCATCATCTCTTTGTTATTATTATTAATTTTTTTTGAGACAGAGTCTCGCTCTGTTGCCCAGGCTGGAGTGCAGTGGCTGATCTCGGCTCACTGCAAGTTCCACCACCTCCCGGGTTCACACCATTCTCTTGCCTCAGCCTCCCGAGTAGCTGGGACTACAGGCGCCTGACACCACGCCCGGCTAATTTTTTTGTATTTTTAGTAGAGACGGGGTTTCGCAGTGTTAGCCGGAATGGCATTGGGATCCGCCCGCCTCAGCCTCCCAAAGTGCTGGGATTACAGGCGTGAGCCACCGCACCTGGCCGATTTCTTTCTTTTTTTTTTTTTTACTATCAATGATATTTTTTATGAGAGATAGCACACCAAGTATTGCTATAAATATTAGGATTAATTCTATTGGTGTGCTTCATGATCATGTATATTTTATGAAGATTTATTAGACCAAAAATTATAAAATTTATCTTAAAGTAATTACTCCTGTGATAACTGTACATTTTAGCACTATTTTTATCTATTGGAATATTTTAATAGCTATAGTTAGTAAAATTCACCATAATCACTAATTAGAGCTGTAAGTTACACTTTTATATTAAATACACATTTACACTTTAGCTGATTGATAGAACATCAACCTAAATATCCAAAAGGAAATTTTTAATCAAGTGACTTCTAGGAGGGTGCCTGTTCTGACGGTGGCTATTCAGAAACAGAGTAAATCTGAAGAAGAGACCTGGTTTCCATGCTGGCCACACCTGTTGCCACACTGATGGGATGTGCAAGATCACAGCAAGATCACAGTCAGGCTAAGTGTGGGGTCAGCAATGGTCTTGCTCAAGGCACTTTGTGCTGAGGGCACGTGACAGCCTGTGTTGTGTGTGTGTGTGTGTGTGTGTGTGTGTGTGTGTGTGTGTTAGCTTCTGTTTTTCTGTGGGTAAATACATGACCCAGAAATTTCTCAAAACAATTTTATTCTTACTATATAAGATCCACTCCATCACAGCTCTTTCTGTTCTGCTTTCTTGTTTATTGGATACCTCTTCAGGCCCAGGACGGCTCATGGAGGAGACAGGGACCCTCCCCAGGTCGAAGGTCCAAGGTCTGGATGATGGGGTGCGGCCCAGGATGGGTGCCAGGGATCTGGAGGACATGAGTGGATGAAGGCCCCGGGCTTCAGCTTCCTCTTAGTGGAATGTGGGTGATGAGGTCCGACCATGCAGCGCTGCTGTGAGGATCGGATGAGAGGATCCCTGGGAGGTGATTGGTGACTTGGTACCGTCACCTCAGTGACTGTTCTTCATCCTCATGGATGTTCAAAGAAAACTCCTTCACTCCCTTCATGAGACAGGACCGATACAACCTCTGAAAATTCATCACCTTAGCCGAACTTTATAGCACTTTCTTTCTTTTCCAATGTATTTGATGCTATTTAAATCAGACCTACTGATTCTGGGAAGCCTGAGATTCCTGTCCCTTAGAGGAGACGCCAGGTGTCTTCTGTGCGCATGCGCGACATTTGGGCGGAAACCCAGAGCTTCGACTCTGGGCTTGTTGGACTGAGGTCCAAGGAGGGATTCACCACGTTGGTGTAAGGTGTGGTCTGTGTTTCAGATTCATGTAACAGATGAGGTGATGCTTTGATGTCAATACCTCGTGTTGTGAGAAGGTGGGGGATCTGGACCGGTGGTCTAGAGGGCCCGTATGGGGCAGAACCCAGACACCTGAGGATACCGGGTTTAAGAGGGGCGGGGCTGAACGAGGCCTCTCCGCGCACACGAGGTGCCTTGGGCACCTACATCGTGCTGTGCGGCTTCCGTGGGGGCGTCCAGGGCGGGGTCTGAGCTGGGAGACCGCCTCTGTCCTGTTCTCCTGCAGTCACTTAAAACTTTTTAGTTTTCCACTAAAATATCCAGATGAGATAATTTCATGGGTGGGGAGAATGGAGGCAGGGAGAGTCACATGTGGACAGGGTGAAGGTTTAGGACGCTCACTGTGGAGGATGAGGAAGCAGCCGCCCTGTAGGTGGTGTGGGTCTGTCGCTCTCTAGGCGTCAGCACAGCCCTTACGCCCTGCAGAATCCTAGCATGGGGAGGCAGAGCTCACCCAGCAGTGGGTGTGCGCCCACTGATAAGCCCTGAGCTAGGGTTAGGCCTGTGAGACAGGGCATTTGCCCTGTGATGCCAGATTGCTGCCATCCTTATGTGCTGGGTCCAGAGTTCCCGCAGGTGCAGACACCTGGCCACTGGGCCCGTCTGGGGCCACTGAGGTGATGCTGCCGCCTGTGGGGCGATGATGGAACCCTTTGAGTCAGAATCTGCCCGGGAAGCCATGGGGCAGACTGGGAGCCTGGGGTGGCCTCGGGTGACTGAAGCCCATGGACGCAGGTCTGGGTGCTGTGCAGATCCCCTGGCCCTGGGAAACAGGACCCAGAAAGGTGGTGGCTTCTTTGATTTCAGGGAATCCAGATTGATGGAGACCCTAGGGCTGAACCCTCCCTAAGGAAGTTGCTTCTGGGTCGGGTAAACAGCAGCGTGGCCCCCTCCCTGCGATCTATTCCACATCAGTACTGGGCACGAGGGTTTGTCCCTGGCACGGGGCCTGAAGAATGTGCTTCAGGTGCCTTGGCTGGCCTTTGCTTCCTCCTTCCAACCCCAGGGGCTCCTCCATGGCCCACACCCTCTGCATCCTGCCCCACCCACTCCTGCTCAGGCTCCAGCTTTGGCCCAAAGTCAGACTAAGTGTGGCATCTCTGGGCCCTGGACCTGCCCAGTGAGTTTTCCAGGATCCCAAGGGATGCATGCCTGGGATAGGTGTGTGGCAGATCAGGTTTCTGTTAGCGACCACAAGAGTCAGTTTCCACTAAACTTTAATTTTATGAATGCATTAACACATTAAACATTATAGAACTGGAAAAACTAGTGCCTGGGGACTAGGGCGGGAATGAGAAAACAAGCCCATTAAAACACCAGCTGGGTTTTCTCAGATGCTAAAGTCTGATCAAATAATAATAGCATTCTTACACATATTCCTCATACTAGGGTCCATTCAAGATTAAGAAACTTTCCAAGACTCTGGAGAAAGCTTTCCAGACCCTAGTCACTACTTAATGTTTAGATATTGATAGAATGAAATATGCTGTCTTGCAGGTGCACTCCGCACATAGGCATGGAGCTTAGAATGTATATAAGCACTAGAAAAAGAAGCTTGTGGCCCGGCGCGGTGGCTCAAGCCTGTAATCCGAGCACTTTGGGAGGCCGAGACGGGTGGATCACGAGGTCAGGAGATCGAGACCATCCTGGCTAACACGGTGAAACCCCGTCTCTACTAAAAAATACAAAAAACTAGCCGGGCGAGGTGGCGGGCGCCTGTAGTCCCAGCTACTCGGGAGGCTGAGGCAGGAGAATGGCGTGAACCCGGGAGGCGGAGCTTGCAGTGAGCTGAGATCCCGCCACTGTACTCCAGCCTGGGCGACACAGCGAGACTCCGTCTCAAAAAAAAAAAAGAAAAGAAAAAAGAAAAAGAAGCTTGTAACTTTGAGTTGGTCTGGTAAGCTACTCCGACCTTCTCCTCATAACTGGTTGCAGAAAGAACCTCTGTTCTTTCCCAGTCTGTCTGCATCTCCTTAATGGACATCGAGAATACACAGCCAGATCCTGTTCTGTCCCAGAACTCGTGTGGGACAGGGAGTGCCTCTCCGAAGCCCTCCCTCGATCCCCACCTCCTCCCCACCCAACCTGGGCTGCTCCCGATCCTGGGACTGGGTTCAGGGAGCCATGGGGTGGTGGAGGCTAGTGTAGTAGGGTGACCTCTGTCCCAGGGGTGGCCAGGGCCCTAGTCACCAAGCACGAATAACAAAATAATAAATTTAAAAAATAAATGGAGAAAGAAAAAATAAGTGTGTGCATGAGCAGAACAAAGGGAAAGGCCAAGATGCCGCAGGGTGACAGAGAGAAGGGGCCCCACATCACCCTTTGTGACCCCTTTCAACCGTCCAAACTCTCTAATTCATGAATTCTACGGCATTAATTTACAATGTACATAAATTTATTATGGTCCTGTGCTTTGCTCCTGGATAGAAGAGAAATTAAGGGAATGGAAAATCTCACAGAAGGGTGAAGGGTTCCCCAGCCAGCCTTGGGGTGGTGCCTGGTTGATGTTAGCCGTAGGGGTCATCATGAAGTGTCAGAGTCCCTGGGCCCCCATCAGCACATGCATCTCACGCCGTCCAGAATCCTAGAAGGGGACCTGTGGGCCTCCTCAGGGCAGCTGCAGGGTGGACCTCAGACAGGTCACAGAATGAGGTGGGCAGCTGAGTGTGTGTTTCTCCTGCCCCAGAACAGCCACTCAGCATCCCAGATCTCAGGTAACACCAGCCTCTTTCTCCAGGCCCATCCAGGAAGGAGAATCCAGGAGTCATCATTCCCCTGATGTTCCATCAGCTGACAATGGAGAGAGTGACAGAGAGACACTGAGCAGGACAGACATGGCCGGAGATCAGGGCAAGACTGAACATGGGCAGAAAGGAGGACAGGAGAGCCAGAAGGAGAGCACAGCGGGGTAGAAACAGTGAGATTCTGAGAGGGAAATAAAAACAGATGGAGGAAGAGACACAGGCATAGGGAAAGGGAGAGGTGGATTGAATAGAGGCAGAGGGCAGAGACAGGGAGACGAGGAGAATGGGGCCTCCGCCCAGGGCAGAACAGGCATGCAGCTCCCCTACACCCACAACCCCATGGAGGGGACAGGACTCACCTGCGACAAAGCCTGTCATCTGAGGTCGGGGCTGAGTTGCAGTTCTGGTTTATCAGCTTCACCATGAAGGTCCAGGGGCAGCACTGCTCGAAGCAGACTCTGAAGGTGCAGTTTCCACACCTCTGGGTCCTGGCCAAAGGCACGACGGCATGATCATAGCAACAGTGCTGCAGGGGGTCGTAGAACTTGTCTCCACATCTCATGTGCGGCTGGCACAGCATCAGGTAGGGAGTTATGGGGGCCACTGGAGGAGACAGAGCTGGTGAGATCCAGGTGGTGGTGGCAGGTGGGTCCCAGCCTGGGGTCCCCTGGAAGGTGTACCCCTCCCCCAGCTTCCCAAGCCCTCCTGGGCTCACCTGGGGCTCCGTGTGAGCAGAGGATCCTGGAGATGAAGAAAATGGCAAAGACAGCTGTGGGAAAGGGAAAGGGAAGATGGGGTGAGTGGACAGCCACAGATATGACTGGCACCGACATTTAGAAGAAGATTGGGTGGAACCAGGGCTCGGTATGGCTTTGAGCAGTTCAGGAACTGAAAGAGGGCTGTGGATGGGGCTATTCTGGGAACTGTGGATGGGAAATTGCTGTGAGCAATTCACGCCTGGAGATTTGGCGGGGCATGGCAGCAGGGATGAGGTGTAGTTTGGGGTGGGAAGCGAGCCCTGATGGTGGCTGAGATGGGAGATGGGCTCGAGTAGGAATGGGGTCCTGTCCTCCTTACCCAGGACGCAGCCTCGGGAAGCCATGGGTCTGGGGTGGCTGCAGTGGAGTGAGCAGGTGATCAGCAGATCTCAGCCACTCCTTTTATCCCACATTTCTAGTGGAGCTGGTGATGTCATAGCATGTCCTGCCCTCCTGCAAGTCCTGCAGAGACAGGCTGGGTCTTTGGGCAGGAGAGGTGCCAGGCAGGGTACGTGTCATTGTAGCTTTAATCTCACCTTTGTTCTCAGGAGAGAAGCGGTGTGCCTGTCATCTTCCCTGTGCTACGTGCCCCAGTGTCATTCCCCACACTGAGCCCTCCTGCAAATAGGAAGGTGCAGGATGCTCCTGGCATTAACACTGTCCCACACTCACACGTCCGCACAGCAATTCCACTGGATCCTACTGAGCTATGACTTTCCCCAATTTCCTTGGGACATTGCTAACCCATGACATCTTTCCAAGGCGGCCCATTAGGTCCTGACCTCACAACCGAAATGCATGGTCAAGAATCCAGTAACTGCTCAGTCACCTGGAGTTCATGGCACTCGGGTGGGAGAGACTGTGAAACTCAGGCACCTGACTTTCACAGGTTTGGAAAGTGGGAGTGGAGCTGGCTGGACCCCCGGGACTCACACTCCTCTGGGGGCTCTTCACCTCCTTCTCTGTCTCATTAATGGTCATTTATCCAGGACAGGTCCACTTGGAAGCCCACATGCCCCAGGCTTTGTGTCAGACACTGGTGATGCAGTGCTGAGTAGAAAACGCAGTCAGTGTCTTCATGAAGTTCATGACAGTGAGAGGAGAGAGAGAGAGAGAGAAGGTAGGAGAATAAAACTCCTGATTTTGGTTGTTTTGGTTCCTGTGTTCAGTGTCATTAGCACTCTGAAGTTCTGGTGGAGAAATTCCACAGCCCTCCTGAGATTCTCAAAGGCCTTTTTCCTTAATGTGCTTTTTCAGAGGGATGGGTTGTGATTTTCCCTGAGAAGAGCCATCTTGGGTCAGGATGTGAGGACAGAGGGGAAGGAGCTGTTTTGGGCCAGTTCTGTGAGCCCCTCTGAGGTTCTGCAGGAGTTCCTCAGCTCAAGCTCACAGGCCACACCTGGCATGAACAAGCCATTCTCCTCCTGGCCAGGCAAGGTGACCTGTCACCCTCTAGGCACCATGGCTGGGTCCCAGCAAGGCATGGATGTCATCAGGTTTGTGTGCGTGGAAGATCCTGCATCTGTGTTCCTGGGGAGCATAGACAGGGGGTTCTCTCTGGAGGCAGGAGACAAGGGAAGAGGCTGCAGCAGAAATGACCTCAATAAAGACCAGAGTGCTCAGCACCACCTTCCCCCAGGGCAGAGCAGACCCTGCTTCCAGCACCATCTCCCTGTCTGCTCCTTTGGCCTCCATTCCTTGCCGCTGTGGGTACAGCAGTGTTTTCCAGCACACAGACTAGTATGTGCTAGTAGTGTGGAAAACCAGTGCAGCTGGGCATAAACAATGTCATTTTTAATTTTTAAAAAAAGGGTTAGAAAATGGGGCAGTGTGCATTTACCGGAATGCTGTGCTCAACTGTTTATGACACTCTTTTCTTAAAAAAAAAAAAAAAAAAGTTTATTTATTTATTTTTGAGATGGAGTCTGGTTCTGTCACCCAGGCTGGAGTGCAGTTGCACGATCTTGGCTCACTGCAACCTCTGCCTCCCAGGTTCAAGCGATTCTCCTGCCTCAGCTTCTGAGTAGCTGGGGTTACAGATGCCCGCCACCATGCCCGGCTAATTTTTGTATTCTCCATAGAGATGGGGTTTTACCGTATTGGCCAGGCTGGTCTTGAATTTCTGAACGCAAGTGATCTGCTCACCTCAGCCTCCCAAAGTGCTGTGATTACAGGTGTGTGCCACTGTGCCCAGCCTGTTTAGGACTCTCTTATTGGGACTGTGTGTATTCCAAGTAATGATAGAATATTATTATATTGTTCTGTCATGATATTATTACATGATAGCATAGCATATATCTAGAACTAGATATCTAGCTTATGGAGGGAGTCACAGTCAAATGGTTAAGACACTTGGGAGCACAGAAGCCTCCAGGATCATCTCCTTCTTCTCTAAGAGTCACTGACATGTCTCCCCTTTGATGTTGTCCATAAAGGGGTACGGTTTTCAGGTCCTTGGTTCCAGGCATTTTCTGGGAGGCTGCAGTGGAGCCCTGCACTAGGTCTTACTGTCTCTACCAAGAAGAGGCAAGGCTGCCTGCAAATGAGCCAGAGTGAGAGAGTAGAGCACCTTCCCCGGGGCAGGGGCAGGGTGGGCATCTCTGAGGAGGGAGGAGGCCAGCTGCTCTTCCTGGCCTGAGCCTGGTCTCTCAGTGCAGCTGAGTCAGCCCAACGTCTCAAAGGTGGAGGGAGATTTTAGCAGAGCATGGGGGCCTCAGAGGCTGGGACAGTGTGAGGCCAGTGGGCGCCCATCCGGGGCTCCCTGGACACTAAGAGCCCCTGACTAGACATGATGAGGCTTTAGAGTCAGTCAGCCCTGGGTTCAAACCCTGTCCCTGCCCCTTCCTAAGATGTCAGAAGAGGCTGTGCACACAGCCATGTCCGATCCCGCCACCAGTCCCTCAGAATCCCCCTCAGATACCCAGTCTGGGGCATCCATGTCTGGCCATGGGTCTGTCTTCTGCCTGGGGGCCCAGCTGTGTGAGGCGGGACCAGGATTTCCCGGTAGAAGCCTGTTCTCAAGTGTCTAGAGAAGATCCCAGGTGTCTGGACAGTCAGTGTAAAGCCTGACCTCAAATGACCTTCGCTGTCACTCTCTCACCCACTTCCTGGATCCAAGCAAGACACGGGCTGAGGTTCTGCTGGTGGTTGTCAGTGACACAGGCTGGGCCAGGAAACCCGGGTCTCCTGACCTCCCACCCAAGGGCTGCCAAGCTCCCCAGGCCTGGACCCTCTGGGAAGTGTCTGTTCACAGACACTCTTAGAGGACACCCAGGTCTGATGTTCCCAGGGCTCCCGGGCAGGACTGGCAGATCTCGGCTTCTGGAATGTGAAACCCCAGAGGATGTTGGCATTTCCTGCTGTCAGCAGCTCCCCTACGGCTTGCCCTTTTACTCCAAGAAAAAATAGAAGGAATCTCCCTCCTGGCAGCTTTGGGGTTTCCTTTCCATCTGCCCTCAGGGAAGCCCTGCAAGGAAACAGGCAGGAATGAGGTGGAATTTCAGGTGTGCAAGTATGTCAGGTATGTAGAAGGAAGGCCGGGTTTCCCCAGGCCGGAGGCCCCTCTGCTGCTGGTTGACAAGGAGGAGTCCGTGTGAGTCATTTTCTCCAAACACAATGTTGGGATTTCAGAAGCTCCCTGCAAGGGGGTTTCTGTTGACCAAAGCCTGATCCCTGCTCTGGCAGGATCCTTCACAAGATGCAGACCAGTGAATTAAGAGCCTCCACATCATAGGAGGGGCTGGAGGAGAGGCCCCAGGATTTGCTGCCAGGAATGAAGCTAGAACAATTTACCGAGCGGAGACTCAAGATCCGGATGCCGGTTCTGTGGCTAGAATAGTGTCTCAGCAATTCAGGGCCATCACCTGGACATGAGATGTTCCTGTGGCTACACCGAGAGACACTATGGCTGTGCTGTCCAGAGATTCAAATGCATCCAGAACCCTGAAAGGACACAAAGATAGATGTGTACCCGCTCCCCCCGCTACACCCTTTTGTTCTGCTCTCTAATCTTTGCACATACCAGAGATTTCGTAAGTTCTGTGAGCACCTGTTTTTCTGCACGTACCAGAGATTTTGTTTTGCACATACCAGAGATTTTGTAAGTTCTGAGGCAAGGTCACAAGACGTGTTTAAGTAAGATAAACTCTTGCTGCCATAAACCTGCTCTCCCGCCTCAAAAGTTGAACCGAAATATCAGAAATGGCGGGAACCAATCATAGTTAGCCAAATCGCCTTGTTCAAACACTAGCCAATCATATATCTGATTTGTATAATAACTCTATGCCCACTTTTCTTAGACTATATAACACTGCTCGGAGCTCAGTGGGGGAGCTCTCCTGCCCGTCTCGTTTCGCGAGCGAAGGAGAGTTCCAGGTTCGAACCTGTAATAAAGATCCTTGCTGCTTAGCTTTGACTCTGGACTCTGGTGGTCTTCTTC